ACACTACACACGTGTGTCACAACAATTGCAAGAGACGCAGAGCATAACACTACACACGTGTGTGTCACAACAATTGCAAGAGAGAGAGCATAACACTACACACGTGTGTCACAACAATTGCAAGAGAGACAGAGCATAACACTACACACGTGTGTCTCAACCATTGCAAGAGACGCAGAGCATAACCCTACACACGTGTGTCACAACCATTGCAAGAGAGACAGAGCATAACACTACACACGTGTGTCGCAACCATTGCAAGAGACGCAGAGCATAACCCTACACACGTGTGTCACAACCATTGCAAGAGAGACAGAGCATAACACTACACACGTGTGTCGCAACCATTGCAAGAGACGCAGAGTATAAGTTTTTATAGCGAAACTCATGCAAGTTGAAGTCTTTATTAATTGGGGCACTTTTCACTCTGCTGTGATTTCAGTTCTCTACTTTCGTCACTGATTATCCTCTGCTTCAGGGTAGGCTTCTATTGGCCTGTTTCGTCTTAAAACTCTATCGTGGCATCGTCATAGCCGTCGTTCAACGTGGACTACACTAAAATTTCTCTCTGCACTGAGTCATTTGCAGACTGGTCGGCCGGAGGACATGTGCAGCGAGGGATCGAAAACAGGGGAAATTCGCCAGTCAGGAGCGAGAGCTAACCACAATCCTGCCTGTTGCGTGCACACTTATCCTGGTACTTCCCCGAGTGGCCTTGGAAGTTGGGAGCCGCGCATTGCAGACCTGGCAAGGACCTTGGGACATTTCTTCTTGGTCGCAAGTCGCGTGTTAGGTGGACCAACGAGACAGGCAGACAGCTTGGCGTTGGGCTCGGTGCGAGATAGTGGTGACGGGTCACAGGCTGCTACAGTCCACTTCGAAAACACAGACAGCCTCTCGGTCTAACCCAGAAAGTTCACCGTGCGGGAGTTGTGTCCTTACTAACCCATTCGTTACTGGTTCCTACGCAGTCTTCTCCTTGCGGATTAGCCCCTGTGACCACCCCTCATCTCAGAATTAATCTGTAAACTATTAATCTTGCACACAGTCGGTAGGACTTCTTGGAGCGGGGTTTTAGCCCGCCGCAAGGACCAAACCCTCCACACAGCGCAACACAAACAAACAAAAACGCAGACATACACCTCTGCCTCAAGTGAGATTCGAACCCACGAACACAGTATCCGAGACGAAGAATTCTTCCTTGTGTCAGACCACTTGGTGGCTGTGAGGGACATGCTGGCTACTTTATACCAGCGGTTCTCAACCTCTATCAGCCCGCGGCCTGGTAAATTTTTTCTACAAGACGATGGGCCGGTACCGGGCCGAGGGCCGGTGGTTGAAAAACACTGCTTTATACTTTTTTTTTTTAATTAGAGACATCGAAGACTAGAGTCCGAGACACGTTCGGCACGTTAAGGAGAACACTGTTCTTACACAGAAATAGCATCAGTCAGGGTAATTCTTTAGTTATAATAATTACAACTTTGTTCGGACGTTTGGTAGAGGTGTATTTATCGCATGCAGAAATAATTCGTTTCCCATGTAACGCACTTCTTTGCGAAGGTTACCGTACAGCGCATGTCGCCTGGTACCCAGGGGTACATTCGCCAATAACAAATTGCTTGACATGTTTCCTCTCGAATTGCAATTCTCTTCAAACCGTGAGCACAATTTTACACAATATGAGGGTAAAGAAGGCTTATATAACATTTGTCGCTTAATTTAAAAACCTTTACTAAAGACCTACATGTGCCTACCAGGTATAATGGAGGCAGACGGACCAGACTTACTGATATACAGAACTTGTCTCGCAAGACAAGAAATGCCAGACGACATGGTGCTTCTATGTATGTATGTATGTATCTATCTATCTATCTATCTATCTATCTATCTATCTATCTATCTATCTATCTATCTATCTATCTATCTATCTGTGTCTGTCTGTCGTACCCTCATACTTGACCAACTTTCAGCTCAAGTAATGTAAACCTGAAGTTGGTAGTGTACTTAATTAAGCACTAAGTCACAGCGAGTTATAGTGGAGGTATAACTCGGTACTATACAGAGAGAAGTGAATTTGGCATTAACCCCGGAATAAGGGTCCCGGTAAATCTGAACTGCTTGTACCACAGACCACTACGCTATTGACTGAAGCTCCTCAGTGCTGATTTGTCGAGTGTGCTGAACATGAAACGTCTGTCCCCGTGGAAGAATAACAGGTTTTGTTAACACAACAAAAATTACCATAATATTTACTTCAAGTGACTGTGTATTTGTCCCAAACATCTATTGGTGCCCAATGTCTACATGACGTACCTGGCTTACCTTGAACCTGAAGATGACTTGTAAAACTTTCGAATTACTATTCAAATCTATAACAATTATCTGGATGTTCTAACGCACAGACAGCTCACCGGCATGGGCCGATGCTTCATAAGCTCTGTTCTCGAAACATCTGCTTCGAAGAGCACATCAGTCTAAACTATCAGGTAGATCCAAAAGAAAACCATTTTCTAGTGAAGGGAAAAGAGGTCGGTAACTTCTGTGAGTTATCACTTTCCGCTTATCCCAGAGGCCGCGCAGGCAAGGCTTAAACACTGTGGTCGTGGGTTCGAATCCCATTCGAGGCATTGGTATTTCTCTGCATTTATTCTGTTTGTGTTCTCCTGTTGCGGAGGGCCGATCCCCGCCCAAGGAGTCCTACCGGCTGTCTATATGATTAAGAAACTGGAAAACAGAAGACAGGGTTCATCTTGGGCTGTAGCGCTCACAGATTAATTAATCAGTATCTGAACCAATTGTAGTTTTTTTTTTTTAATTTCCTAGGGTGGGGTAAGATGGTGTCCGCTTGGCGTGTCAGTCACAAACTCGCCTACTGTAACAGCCCCAGATGATATATGATGAATTGGCAGGGGAAACCGAAGTATTCGGAGAAAACCTACCGTAATGCCACTTCGTCCACAACAAATCCCAAACGAACTGACCTGGGCTCGAACGCTGGCCGTCGCGGTAGGAACCAGGCGACTGAGCTATGGCACGGCCTGCGTCCAATGGTATGATTGATCAATAATGAATTGGGAAGGATTTGAAAGGCGACTGAGGAAGAACAGGAAAGACCTGAGTCTGTCCTGACCGGCCGACATTGGGCCTGACCAGCTGCCTAAAGAAGGTAAAGCTATCTCTGTAACGGGCCGTGGAGGCCCATAGGGTTGTGAGACGTCGAGGCTCCCACATTTTTAGACAATGGCCTCATAGATGGCAGTGAGCTTGTCAGCCCAACAGAACTGCTACAGGCTTGCCCTTACTGAGGCAGAGCGCAGGGGAGAGTAACATGATGGCCCGGCGTTTTGCTTTGGATACTCAACCAACACTTTTGCAGAATGCAGATTTGGGGAAATGCCGGATTTATGATATTGTCGCATGTATGGGTGAGTTTGGATTGGTAACTGGATTTATTGGACTCTCTGATACAACGCGTGACTACACTTACAATTCACTATTACACACCGTCCACAGTCACGTCTTCATTAGCCGTTGCTAGGTAGCGGCTTCTATCGGTGGACATTACCCTTACTCTGGGCTCCCGAACTGTCCCCGTGCCTCAGCTACCAGCTTCTCACAGCAACAGCTCACAATGACTCAACCTCAGCAGTCCTCTAACTCACTCACTCACCAACCAACCAATTCACTTTCCTGCATTTCACTCAACTGAACTCGCTCACTAATTGTCCTACTTATAACATCTAGGCACGGACCGCACAGAAAACGCCGTTACTCTGTTGCTCTTTCCATTGTTGTGAGCGCAGCCATCGGCGCAGACCGCGCAGAAAACACCGCTTTCCTGCCAGTCCATTGGCGCATGTTAGGAATGTGCTGCCTAGCAACAGTCGTTGTTCTCTTGTTTGTTTCGCGGTCGTTGCCTAGCAACGTGTCTATAAGCCACTATATCAAGTGATGTTTGCTGAATAAGGGAGCGTTTCTCTGCGATTACAGATAGAAATTTACTGTTTCTGACATAAGCGTCGGCAAGGGAGGCGAGCCAGGCATTAATATTATGTTATGTTTTTAGTTCATCCTTCTGTCCGGAATGCTCTAGGGACATCAATAAAAACACAGCCTGGTCTCTGGCTTACGACTTAAGACGACTCCGAAAACGGGTCGTCCGTCGAAAATCGAAGTCGACTTCGTAACATGCTCAGGCCCATTTGCAATGTTGTGACCATCATTACGACAGAACCTTTTTGTTTTTATTACAAAATCAGTCCTGATCACGTGAACTATTATAAATATGAACAAGCACGTCATGGAGACTTTCATTCGCGATTGCAACTGAGCGATGTTGTAGTCAACGTATCGCTAGGTTATCAATGAAACTGTATGTAAATTTAATTCATTATGTTTACATTAATTTTTCAACAATCTGTAATTTGTATGGATTTTTCTGTACTCCACAGCGTCCAGACCGACTCAGGAGCCGACCCAACCTCCTATGCGACTGATACCGGGGGTAAAGCGTCCGGGGTGTGAAGCTGACCACTCATCTCCATCTTGTGTCAACGTTCGCTTATATTCTACCACGGATCATTAAGAGTCACGACTCGCTCCATCGGAGTACTTGCATACAGCTAAATTAACATTTTACCCAAATCCGAAAACTCCAGAACCTGGTCTAATTCAGACAGGGGAACTGTTGTTTTGGAAGAGGTTCCGCTTGGCAGAAGATGCCGGAGAAAAACTATCACTTGGGTCCTGGGTCAAGGTCAATACTTCGAGTTTCGAGTCACAAGTCAGAAAATTCTGAGTGAAAGTTTAATTGGTCTCAAATCTATGAGATCGGAACTCGGGAAGTCGTGGGTCCTGTAGCTTTTAAAATGTTTTAAAGGAAGTCTGTGGACAAATTTGCTGGCTTCCTCCACGCCCGGCAAAAGCCGTGGCAGCGCTTGACCTCCTGACTTCCCAATTTCCCAGTTCATGCTTTGCCAAACTGTGGGTAGACTTACCGACTAAGCCGCATTGGTGTAGTCCCTCTTCCTCAGCGCTGTTGGGTGCCGGTATCCTGTAGACTGCATGCAGGATTGGACTGGTGTGGTCTCTCCAGTTCTCTGCTGGCTCTATGAAATAGCTGCCGGTCGAGGTGCGGATGTGCCCAGTCTGGAAAAAGGAAGACTCTACATTAACAGAACTGAAGAAAACTCACAGTATCTGTCGAACGCGAAATGTCCACACCTAGAGCAGGGACCTTGGAGTTATGCTTCACAGAATTTTAGACAGACACAATTCTGATGCATTGAGTTTCAACGTGGCCCCAAATCCTACCCTGCCCGGCCTCTGTTAGAGACTTACTTCTCCTTCTGCTCTGCGGTGCTGTCACGCTGTAGGTAAGGACTTCCATATTTTTGTGGAGGGGGAACATAAAAAGCAGCTTCTCTCAACCAGCGTCTGTTTTCATGGCAACAATTGGATGCGACAATGAGGTGTTTTCTACGACGTTCGTGCCGAAGTGTTCAGTTCGTCAGTGAGAAGTTGGTTGTTGAGTAACAGTTAGTGAATTGGTGAGTTAGATAATCGTTGAGGTTCAGTTGTTGTGACTTCTTGATGCGAGAAGCTGGTAGCTGAGGTTGGGGATAGTTCGGAAACCCAGAGGAAGGGGAACGCTCGCTGTTGGAAGCCGCTACCAAGCAACAATTAGTGGAGACTAACAGACTGAGAAGACCTAGTGTGTGTATTAGTGAACTATGAAGTGTAGTCAAGCGTTGTATAATTGTGCGATAAATCCAATTACCATTCCAAATCCCGTCTATAGCAACTCAAAAACACGACAATGTATATGCATTCTAAGTTAAGTTAAAAAAAAAAAGGTAAAGGTATCCCTGCAACAGGCCACGGAGGCCCATAGGGATGTGAGACGTCGAGGCTCCCACATTTTCTAGACAATCGGTTCACAGATGGCTAGTTGAAAAATCTAATTAAACCATCGGGATTCGAAACCGCGACCTTCCTGCTTGTAGAACAGTGCCTCAACCAACTACGCTACCGCGTGCCTCCTCCTAAGTTAGGGCATACGTGTATATATCCTACTGAGCTAGTAAGGGAAAAGGAATTCGGATATAATTAATTTCTGTTGTCTGAGACCACCCGACTCTTTACTGGCATTCTCGATACTATTGTATACGCAGCACCTTCTGCGCAGCGCTATTTCCGAAATTGGCCTTAAGGCTGTTGTCTTTAAGCATTTCTTTCCTTGTAATGCAATTACCAGCATCTACGCAGTGTTGCTTGTCTGTAATTGGCCTAGAAGCTGTTGACTCGGCACATAAAATAAAGATTTGAATTGAAATAAACTTATCATCATCAAACGCTTATTCAGCAGCGCCGGCCATGGCTGAAATTATGTAGAGCAGTGAACTATGGGATAGTTAGTGACCAAGGAATCGGAAAAATACAGAATGTAGAGCGTGAATGCCAAGTATTGAGACAGTACCCACGCGTCTGCCTGGGAAAGAGAGCAAAAGACGTGAACCTGAGGCCTCTGGAATACGAAACTGTACTGCCCAGTGAAACGCAAACTTCAGTTTACTACTTATTTGTTTCTGTGCAAACTTAATAGCCCAGAGATCAATTACAAAGTCAGCTCAAGTAAGAAGAAACAACAACAAAAACAAAACTCACAAAGAAAATGCAGAACAGGGTGATTTATACTGTGACGGGATAATCCATTGCTAGACAACGGACTGTTGAAACCCTCTTAGAGGAATCAAAGCGTTGGCCGAGGCAACGCATTCGCGAAACAAAGTGATGAAAAGGCGGTGACCTCTATTCGGTTCTCACGCATTCATAGATGGCAGTGGATTCGTGAATTCGAGATTCATTCAGACCCAGACGGGAGTCAGAAATTCATTCATAAGAGAATTCAGCCGGGAAGTGTTAACCAAGCGACGACCAGTAAGCAGGCGTAAAAGGTAACGGTGAAGCTGTCTCTGTGCTTAACCAATTAAGCACTATGCCATGAAGGCGTATGGGAGAGTGGATGTATAGATCCACATTTTCTCGACCTTAGCATTAGCTGGAGGTGAGTGGTCAGCTTCACACCCCGGCCGCTTTACCCCCGGGGAAAGAGCCCACACTTCCCACTGGATAGGAGGTTCGGTGGAACCCAGAACCGGAATAGACGACGTGGAGAAGAGAAAATTCTCGACCCTACCGGAACTCGAACTCCGACCATTCAGTCGTCCAGCCCGAAACCTATACCGACTGAGCCAACCCGGCTCCAGTAAGCAGCTGCTGAAGACTTAATTTTATAGCAATCTTTAGAGTGGTATAATTATTTGTAGCCACGACTTGGGAGTGTCCAATAAATGTATTCATCTCATCTAGAACCCATAATTATCAGTCAGGCAAACACCTTTAACGTGACAGTATATTAATATTATTATTAATAATGATGATGATAATACTTCCGTTTAAACTAAGCACTGAATTACTGCTGCTATTAAGCAAATATTCTCCGTTCAAGATTGCCTTTGTTCTAAACTGTGTCCCATTTTTGAAGCTGTTGCGCTTCGAGTTCCTTCTGGCGTAGCACTGACTTCCTGTGTTCAATGTCTGCCAGTCTGGTACAAATTGTGCTTCTGCTGCTAATATTGTTTGTTGGGGTGCTGACGTACGTGGAGCTAAACCCATTTTCACTGCTCATATTTTATGATCGTACGTATGTTCTTAATTATTGAAATATCAATTGAATTCCACATGACTGCCCCCGCACAATGGTTGACGTGATTGGATCTTTATTGTTGTCTGAATGATGCATGTTGCCTTGTTGTCATTTTTATATGTGTGTGTGTTTGTTTTCTTCTTTGCCTTATGCTTACTTTATAACTGTTCCTTTGGCCTTTGCGTGAGCATATAAATAAATGAAATGAATATAATTGAATCGTTACTTTTTGTAATTCATCATCATAACCAAATCTTCGCAAAGACTATTCCAAAAGAAGGCTTCAGAGTAACTCCAGCGTTGTGTCACAATTACGCGATCCATCAATAACTGTAATAATGGGAAACCCGCAGTGGTGGTACACCCCCATTTGACTGTCAAACCTGGTAGCTATGCAAACGAATGGACTTTGAAGCAATGAAACTGTACTTCAAGGGGGGTATGCTTACATAAGTGAACAAATTACTCTGCTTGTCACCGTCCTAATTATTAATGCATTCCGGCTTCTCGAATGACATACAATAATGGAAAGGAAACAAACCAAAGAATCAATACACACAACAGCTAATAATTCTAATGACAAATATGGTTACTTGAATCTATTTAGCAAGGTCTGTAATCCTTGGAGACTGCTGCAGAGGAAGAAGTTACATTCAATGGTAATGCTGTGCAATTTATATTTCAATTTACCGTATACAAGGACTGCGATGGCTTATTCAGATATAATTGTATTATACTTCAAGGTTCGTACCTGCTGTGATGAGACGCCTGACACTCCTCACTGCACTGCGTGGATGTAACGCACACCCACTACAAGCAGCGTGCCTGCGCCATTTGATATCGTACTCTGCTACAGTCGAAGCGGTCGAAGCTACATTTGCCGTGAGTCAGTGTCGATATATCGACACGATAACGAGACAATCGATGTACAGGAACGCTCGAACGCTGCGATCGTAGGTTCGAATCTCACTCAATGCATGGATGTTTGTCTGCGTTTATTCTGTGTCTGTGTGTAGGTAGCGGCCTTGCGACGAGCTGATACCCTGCCCAAGGAGTCCTACCGACTAACATTACGAAACTGAAGGAAAGGAAAGGACGCCCTATCCTCGAAGTGGGAGCAAAAGCGCACGGCATAAAGAGAACATAAAATATGAGGAAACGAACAGAAGTTACAATTCTAATTCGGAAGAATATTTTGTATTCAGTGATAAAGATGGACGAAGCCTGTATCTTATTTGCAATATATCGCAGTCTGCTTCAAACAACACTACCGAAGGAACTGTTGCGTATAATCGAGTCATACACGATTGACTTCGACCATGTTACTTTCGAGACGAACTCGATTATTGATCGACAGGTCATTATGGGCCGCCAAATATCGAACAACAATGAAACCCATCTGACCAGTACCGTCAGTTTCAACAAAATCGATATTTCGCTCTTGGGCCCCAAGTTGTTGTCATCAGCTCTGCGGTTTCATTTGGGGACACGGTCCCCCTAAATTACTGAAGTTTAATTAAAACCATGAAGCCATTTTAGAGCAAATCGAAATTTAATATTATGGGGCTCATTTTAAGGCCCTCCACTTTTGGAGTTCGAATATTCAGATCCAGGGGGGCACGGCCATAATCTTGAACACCAAATATCAATATTGCAAGTCCGACCGTTCAGGCGCGAGACGCACATCCATACATACATACATGTACACAAGCACATACACATATGCATACATACAAACACACACACATATATATATGGCATAATCTATTTAAATTGATCCACTTCTTATGTTTACTAATAGTATTATAATCCAAAATTAAAATTGTTAAGGTTTAAGTACGAAATACGTCCCGAACAGCATGTGTTGTTAAGTGCTAAAGTAGGATGTTCCTAGAAGGTAACAACCAGTAGTTTAAGTGAAACAGATAAAAGCATAATTATTATTTTAAAATGCGAGAGAGGGGTGTGTTCAGGATACCGGTTGTTGTGTGCGGATGAGTTTCGTAGTTTTCGATGGTTTTTTTTTGGGGGNTAAACGTTCTCTTGGTGTAAGAGTGTGACGGGTCGGTATATAAATGTCGTGACAGTGGTTTCTGTGCCGTGTAAGAGCTGCTGTATGTACATCGACTCACTCAGCTTAAGCACGGACCCCGGAATCAACTTTACAATGTATCGTGTGTGTGGCTGTGTTTTGTGTTCACGGATCCCAAAATCTACTGTCACGTGTATAAGTGACTACAGAAGGGGATGGACTGGTGACTAGAAGCAATTATAACAGTATCACTGGTTTACATACTCCTAAGATCAATATGACTGCAGCACACATGAAGTCTTCTGTCTTCACTAGACGTATCCTGGTAACGGATCTTAATAATGTCGTCCGTTTACGTCCTTACCGTCTTACTTTACCGACCGAACTCTGAGCTCTCTTATGAACTAA